ATTAAACCAGTGAAGATGTTTCAAATTAATTGGTGCATCAAATAATTAATTCATATTTATACTTTAATGTATAAGAAATTGGCTTCAACTTTAATTGTTTTTTTTTATAGTTTTTATTTTATCAACTGAAATGCGAAAACAGTGTTGATCAAATTTCTTCTTAAAAATATTGCCCTGATGTTTCGAATGCTTTCGGGCAGTTTTTTTCTGCTAATATTTCATATGCAGTTTTTGATTTCGATTTAGCGATAATTTGACTGTGCGAGAGTTTATTCCATAAGTGGATAACCGATGACCCTTGGATCGCCTCAAGAACGGTTTCTGTGTGATTGGCATTGAAAAATTGTTCCCAATCATCCCAGTTTATAGCATAGAATTCTTCTTTTGGGAATACTTTGAAGCCGTGGCATTTCTCTGGAGTCATTTCCACTAGGCTCGTGTTGCAAACTTGATGTTCCAGCACGCGAGTCTGGAGAGCGCCACCATTGTGATTCCATGCATGTGGGTTATAGCTTGCAATCAACTCCCTTCAGCGATTAAAAAATGTGCAAAAAAATTGAAAAATTCTATGAAAAAAAAGGTAAAAAGGCTTGAGCACCCACTTGAGACACAGTTCGAGTATTCCTTGTCCGATTTTATTTTGAAATCCCATAACTGCATTATTAACGTTATAAACTTTCTTTCCATCAGATGCTTCTTTTCCCAAAAAGTTTGCTGGAAATTCATCCATATTCTTCTGCACAATTACATCTGTGTCAAAGTAGAGGCCTCCATATTTATACAAAACTATCATTCTAACTATGTCAGACATGTGCTCAATTAGATAGCTAGAGTTAAACATAGCGCCACTTTGGAAAAAATCTTTCACGGGTGTGTCTAGTGCTACAGTTCTTAGATTCAAGTTCAAAAAATGAATATTTTCATATGACTGCAAAACGGGCACAAACGAAGATTCCGAGCCAATGGATAATCGAACTGGTGATGTGAATAGAACGAACACACTGCGATTTGGATTGTGAAGAGCAGCCGATTCAATCGCACAGGTTTGTCTTTGAAATGGGGAAGCATGAGGATAAAATTGAGTTTTATGAAATGAAACGTTTCAATTTGAGATTCAACCTTTGAATTACCTTGATTTCAGAGCAATTGAA